ATCAAATGTCATATTTATTATAATAAAAAGAACAAATTCGGCTTGTTAAATAAAGGTTTTATTGAGAATGACAATTTCAGCCAATTAAAATAAAGTATTTTTAAATAAAAAAACCCTTTTATTTAGTATTCAATTGAAAATTTATAACTTCACTTCACTGCCTGTATACAGAATCTGAAATTGTTCTTTTAATAACATTGTAATTTATTTTTCCAAACAAAAAAAACGAATTAACATTTTCAAAAATTAAAGAAATGATATGACGGTAAATTGTCTCATTATTATAGTTTTTTAATACTATTTTTTTATTAATAATAATTGTTTTTTTCCAATGGATTTTTTATTTTTAAAAAGTATTATTGTATCAACTAAATTTGACAATGATTTGTGTTTTTACCAAATTACTCGTTGTGTTTGTAATACAAACACTCTCTTTAAAATGGTGCCAAAGTGGTGACACGATAAATTGTTATTTTTCAAAAACAAAACAGTGTGACACTACGGATTTTGAATATCAACAATCAATTCTTTGGATTAAAAATTCTAAAATAAAGTACATTAATTTCTTTTTATTACGATATATTGAAATTAATTTTGTTCAAAAAAACAAAACAAAGATTATTTATTTAAACAACACAACCAACAATTTGGAAAATATATTAACACGATACAACGTTACAACATCATATGAATTAACTATAAACGACAATTACAGTTTAAGTCAAAAACGTGCACAACAAAGAAAAAATTATATAAATTGTAACGGCTTGAATGTCATTAATTGTTTGGAATGTATGACAGATTATATAGGCTGTGCTTTGTGTGAACAAGGTTACACTTTGGTTTATGGAATGATTAATGCTTTGAAAGAATATATATGCACAAATTTAACATTTTCAGAATATATTCAAATGGGATACACAAAAAGATGTAATGATAATTGGAGGTATAACCAATCTACAGGAAGGTGTTGTGCCATCAATTGCAGTTCCAACACCTGTTCCGCTTCTTTTACCACTTCATGTGCTTCATGTCACCACCATATAAATTAGTTAGCTACTCGTGTTATTACAACGGGTGTACTGTTCCAAATTGTGAAACTTGTAATAGTTCGAGTGTTTGTACCACATGTAAAAGTGGATACACTTTAAAAAATTCGACTTATTGTGAAAGTAATATCATAATCCAAAATTGTTTAACGTACGGAATATCATCGTGTATTACATGTGAACCGAATTACTACTTATTAAACAACAACGCATGCATACAATGTGACACAATTTGTGGTAATTCATGTTCTGATTCAACAGGTTTTTGTTCAACTTGTTCTATTGGATTCGTATACAGAGAACCCAAATCAAAAGAATGTGAATTGTGTTCTAATTTTGATTCAAAGTGTGCTGAATGTCTGACTCCAAACAAACAGTGTCGGGTGTGTATAGACGGATATTACCCATCAAATGCCAACTTGAGTTGTATTCCCTGTGATTCAACGTGTGCGTCGACAGGGTGCAACACACAAACGGGCGCTTGCAACACTTGTGTAAGCAATCAATATACAATAATCTCTGAAACAAATGTTTCGTGTCAGACGTGTTTTTCTTTTGACCCGAATTGTGTAGATTGTTCAACAATCACAAGAAAGTGTACTGTATGTAAAAAGGGAATGTACCCATCAACAACATCTCCATTTACATGTGTTGGTTGTGATTCAACGTGTTTGAATGGATGTAACACACAGACGGGAAACTGTGAGACGTGTTCATCACAATACACTCCCGCAATAACACAACCTTCAAAATTCTGTTCTTTTTGCAATTCTATAGACCCAAATTGCAACACATGTTCATCAACAGAGAGAAAGTGTCTGAGTTGTGCATCTTCATATTTTGTTGGGATTAATGGAACAAGTTGTGGAAATTGCGATTCTTCTTGTTCTTTATGTGATTCTAATGGGTATTGCACATCATGCGCATCAAATTATGTGATGTATGACACACAAAGCACAAATTGTGAAAGTTGCACAGACTTTGATTCAAATTGTGAAATGTGTCCAGGTGGCACACTGAAGAAATGCACAACTTGCAAAACAACAAACATGTACCCGTCACCAGATACCGGGAAGTGCATTTCGTGTTCAACGACATGTGGTGGAAGTTGTGACCAAACAGATGGAAATTGTACATCATGTGCGAGTGGTTTGGTCTTTACAAGTCCACCATCAACTGTGTGCGAAGTTTGCAAAAACTTTGATTCTCATTGTGCCACGTGTGCCTATAATGGTGTCAGCTCATGTCTAATATGTTCAATGGGGTATTACCCATTAAGTGGCACGTGTGTTGCGTGTTCGGCAACGTGTCAACAAAACGAGTGCAACGCAGCAAATGGACAATGCACAAAATGTATTGACAATTACGTCGTGACTTCACCAATTTCTACAAATTGTAATAGTTGCAGTGTTTATGACCAAAATTGTGTGACTTGTGCAACAGACTCCACAAGAAAGTGTGTTTCCTGCAAACCAAATTATTACATCAAAACGAGTGGCAATTATAAATGCCAAAGTTGCTCATCTACATGTGGAGGTGCCTGCAATGGTAGCAATGGAATATGCACGACATGTTCGAGTGGGATGGTGCCAACCGATCCATTTTCAACAACGTGTATAACATGTCAGGCATTTGATGTAAATTGTGAGAGTTGTGTGACTGGTGAAAGAAAGTGCACAAAATGTTCAACACCAAACATGTATCCAAACGACACGTCACACATTTGTGTGTCATGTTCATCAACATGTGGAGGGAGCTGTGATGCAACAAATGGGATATGCACAGCATGTCAAGATAACTATGTCTGCAATCGACTAAATCACGTGTTTGCGAATCATGCTCAACTTTTGATGCACATTGTAATAAATGCTCGTCTGCATTTGACAGAAAGTGTGTGATGTGTAACACGGGATATTACCCAAATGAAATTGGTGTATGTGTTCAATGTAACACAATCAACACTAATTGCACTACTTGCAGTCAAACAGTTAAGAAGTGCCTGGCGTGCAAAGACCCACAATACGTAGCTTCAAATGTGCTTTGTACAAACTGTGAAGTTGGCACTTACAAAAAGACCGATACAACATGAAAAAGTTGTTATTTTGCAACTAAGTACTGCAATGTGTGTTCCACCCTTACTGTTGCTGTTTCCAATTGTGCCTCTTGTATGACCAACTATGTGTTGAATGGCGGGAAGTGTCAGTTGTGTCCAAGTGGGAAGTATTACAATCCAAATTCAAAGAGCTGCCAAAGTAATTTTGTGAACTGCCAAATTCAACTCTATGAGTCGACTTGTCTTCTCTGTAACAACAACTATTTTTTGGCGAATGGGGTTTGCCAACCAACATCACAATGTCTTCGTGTGATTGTTATGACCAGATTTCAGTCAACTCCGATTGCAAAGACAATTTGACAAACTGCAAATATCAAAAAGTTGAAAAGAATAATTTTATTTGTAATAATTGCAACGACAACTTCACTTTGAATGGAAATGATTGTCAAAGTTCACAACAAAATATGGAAATTAGAAATGGTATTATTTACAAATGTGGAATTGGTGATTATCTCAACATATCAAATGATTGTGCTGGCTGTGGAAGTTCTATTTCAATTTGCCAATTATCAAAGAACAGAATTACTCCCCTGGAGTGTACCACTAATTATATATTTGACACAACTTCAAACCAATGTGTTCCAGATGAAAACGGCAAAATATGGATTTTGCACCAAGTGTGCTTCTAATTTAAATTACCCATCACAAGGAAGGTGTTCCAAATGTCAAACAAACAATTGTGGTCTCTGTGACAGTAATGGTTGTCTTGAATGGTTGGATGGCTTTGTAAAATACACTGACACTTGGTGTATATCAAAGAGTGAAATATCAACATGCAAAACATTTAGCTCAAGTGGGTGTGTTGTTTGCAATGAGGGGTATTACCAGACAGACTCAAAGAATGTAGAGAACAAGTACGATTACTGTGTCCCAATAGAATCCACAACAGTTACATATTGCAAGAGATACAGTGCAAATAACAATAAATGTGTTGAGTGTCTTGATACCTTCAAATTAAAAAATGGAATTTGTGCTGAAACATTTGATGAAGATGACAAACTTAAAACAAGCAGTAAAACAGTAACAGAAACAACTTGTTTAATTCGAAATAACAAAGGATGCCAACACTGCGCCGATGGTTATTACAACATCAACAACGAATGCCTTCAATGTAAAAATGACTGTCTTTTTTGTTACAACACGACTTATTGCACAACATGTAGATCTGGGTTTTATTTTGACACATCAGGAAACTGTAAATCTCTTGGTGTGTTGGAGGAAAGTTGTGACATTGCGCTACCCGGTGGTGGTGGATGTGCAATTTGTAACAGTGGGTATTATCGTGAGGGTATTAGTTGTATACATTGTGATGAGTTGTGTGCACTTTGTGTTAATAGTTACGAATGTCTTGCATGCAAAGACGGCTATTTCAACATTCAAAGCGAAGGCAAATTGTGTCAATCAAATACAACACTTTCAAATTGTGAATTGTCATCGTTTTCTGGCTGTGAAAGGTGTGTGTTTGGTCATTACTTATTAAATCACAAATGTTATAAATGTATTTCAAATTGCATTTCATGTGAAACTGAAAGGTTATGCACAGAATGTGATGATCAAGATTATGTTTTAGTTAACTCGCAATGTCTTCATTATACAAAAGTAAATCGTTGTGTTTCAGCACAGAATTCAAAATGTGTTAAATGTGAAGGTCAACAAAAACCGACAGATTATGGTGATAGTTGCACAGATTCTGTTAATTATGGTTTTGTCATAGGTATTCCAATCACAGTTGTAGTACTATTGATATTAACAGTTACTTTGTTAACAATTATTCTATTTGTTATATTTCAGCGATATAACAACAAACAACAAATGCAGAATGTCTGTGTTTTCGATATTAAAAGTTCTAATTTAACGATGGAAAAAATGAACGACGTTTTGTGCTCCAACAAAAATGTTTTACGCTTTGATATTGATAGCGACGAAGTTATTAAAGTAAACACCGAGACTCGTGACTTGATATGTATTGGAAACACTTCAAAACACAGTTTGAAGGTTCAATTTAGTGTGATTGAAGGGTGTGATTGTTACCAAATACGTACATTACCTTCTATAGTCACACTAAAGCAAGGCAAAGCCTGTGAATTTGAGTTATTTATAAAGCCATTATGTTCATGTCAAATAAAAGAAAATATTATGGCGATTGCTCTTGACATTGTGACAGGAACTGTTTTGAGTAACAAATTACAAATAGAAGTCAACACAGAACAATCAACCAAATTAAATTACAGAGAACTCGAAGAAACGAAGCAAATTGGCGAAGGTTCATTTGGTGTTGTGTACAAAGGAAATTACAGAGGAAATGTTGTTGCTATTAAAAAGATGAAACAAAGTGATAATAAAGAAGAAACCATTTCTGAATTTAAAAATGAAGTCGACATGTTAGACAAATTCCGAAGTGAGTATATCGTACATTTCTTTGGAGCCGTTTTAATACCAAACAAGATATGTATGGTCACAGAATTTGCGCAATATGGAAGTTTACAGGACTTGATTAATAAGAAAAAATCCAATGAAGTTGAAATGAATTTACGAATAAAATTGATCTTAGATGCTTCAAAGGGATTTTATATTTACATTAAAATGGAATTTTACACAGAGATATCAAACCAGACAATATTCTTGTTATTTCACTTGATATGAATGACAAAGTCAATGCGAAATTGACTGATTTTGGAAGTGCTAGAAATATCAACATGTTGATGACTAACATGTCATTCACAAAAGGAATTGGAACACCAGTGGACATGGCACCTGAAATAGTTAAGAAGGAAAAGTACAAGAAATCTGCTGATGTGTTCTCACTTGGTATTACTATGTTTGAGTGTTTTGGGTGGTGTCAGGCATATCCAAAAACACAATTCAAATATCCATGGGTTATTGCAAAGTTTGTGATTGAAGGAAAACGTCTTGATAAAAAGGAGAATATGAGTGATAAATCTTTTGAGATTATCCAAAGATGTTGGGAACATGAACAATCAAAAAGACTGAATATTAAAGATTTAATTTCAAGTCTATCAAATTTAACTTTAAAGGTCTGAAAAAAATAGAAAACACATTCACAACAATAAGTAATTAGGTTTTTATATTATATCATCTTTTCAAACAAATATATGAACACTAGTATGTTTTTTACGAACAAAATTATCAAAACAAAATTTAAAATATAAGTTTTTTAAAATGGTTGCTACAGAAACTGTCAAATGATTATGTTATAAATACAATAAATAAATAAAAAACAAAAAATACGACAATTACACAAATGTTTTGATAAAAAAAATAAACATAGTTTTTATTATTACAGGGAAGATAAAAACCCGCTATCGTCTTTTTAACCGCTTTCTATCGATTTAATAATTATAACTAATAACATTATTATAAAAAGTTTAATACAAATTACCACCTCGGACAGAAAAAGTCTCCACGAGGCATATTCAGCCTTCATTATAAACAGTACTATACATTTTATTATATTAATATTATTTAAATCTTTAAAATCAAGTGGAAGCGGCTAAAAAGAAGGAAGCGGTTTTTTATCCCCCTTGTAATTAAAAAAAACATTCTAGTTTTTAATCAAATGAAAAATCTAAAATAAATGTAATAATAAACTATTCAAATGAATAATTTGTTTGTTATCAAATTTAATTAATTAGTCGAAGATACAGTTAAGTTATCTATTTGTTTTTATTGTTGTTGTACATGCTATTCAACTATATATTTACAATACACATTTTTATTTTAAATGTTATCTTTTGAAACCAAATGAACTGTAAAAAATATCGAAAATTTAATAATTTAAAAAAACAAATTAAAATTTTAACACAAACTACAAATAATGGTGCTGATGTACATGGAAGATAAAAAACTGCTTCTACTTGATTATAATAGTTTTGAATAATAATTATAACAATAATAATAATTAAATAATAACATGTATGGGTGTGTTTATTACAAAAAAAATGTGGAGACTTTTTTTTCCGAGGTGGTAATTTGTATTATACTTTTTATAATAATTATATTATTAAAAATTATTAAAAAGATAAGAAGAGGTTAAAAACATAAGCAGTTTTTATCCCCTTGTAAATAACAAAAACAGTGGTATTGTGACATTTTTTTGTGGATATAATAATAAGTTTTTAAAAAAATACAATATGATAAAATTTGGTTTTATTGTCTCAAAAATAATTTGATTTCTAAATCATTTGAATTGATATCTATAGCCAAATTTGTTGTTTTTTGTACAATTTGTAACGTTTTAATAGAAGATTCAATGTGAAGCAAAACACTTAATTAAGCATTCTCAAAAGTTGTCTTATCGACAAAAAAATATTTTTTTATAAACTAGAATTAGGTTAAAATGAAAAAAATACAAGAAAAATATTGAAACAATGATTTTAAATTGTGACATAAAAAACAAAATGATAATTTGGGGGAAATCATTTTTTCAAACACTCTGTTCATATTCAATGAGATAAATATTAAAAACTCTTTTTTATATATTAAAAAATACATTATTAAGAAATACTTTATTATTATTATAAATTATAACCCTTTATTGTAATGATATAAATATTTAAAAATGGAAATTTTTTAATTTTAATTTTAACAACAGAATGTATTTAATATATAATTATAGTAAAACAAACTAAATATAGATAACAAACTTTAGGAAATAAACAAATATAAAAAATAAAAATATTGTTTTTTTAGTAACTCCGAACACACAAAAATACATATAAAAAGCGAATTGATGAGAGTAATACTACTATCTCTTTTGTTATACAACGCCAGTGCTGCAAAACAGTGGTGTGAATTTGATGGTGTTATCCAGTATGCAGATGATGTCAATTGCGTTGAGTCTAGTGAATGGAATATCAACGACATAACATTTAAGTTCACCGCCAGTTGTTGCACAACCCAGACAAAAACACTCAACGATGATGGCGAGAAAAGTGGTGATGAAAAGGTGTTTAGTTTTGATAATGATAAAATCGTTTTAAAAACGTTGTTTCTCCAACTTACAAATAACTATGCAAAGATCAAAATATGGGACGGAAACCGGACAGAAGGGTTATTCGTTGCTTTTGGTTGTTTTGATAATCAATCATTTTGTCGTACAACTGTTAGACAAGATAAATTGGCATATATAGACCACCATTGGCATGGCATATCTCTATTTTCAGATATCGACCAGTACTTTTATATTTGGATATATTGGGAAGGAAACGAATTACCAGTACAACTGTTTATAGATGGATATGTCTCTCAACACGTTACTCTCGATTATATGAAATCATCAACTCAAAATTTAAGTTATCTATACTCCAGAAATAGATATTTATTTACAGGTAATTCAAATGAAGATTTAATTGTAATCAAAAACAAAGATGGTGTTGCAAAAGAAGTCTGTGAACGGTTTGGATACAAAAGATTCCTCTTTTTCGAAAAATCATATAAAACCACATATCTTAGTTACACGGCGTGTACTTGTAAAAGTACAACACACCAACTTCTTGAAACTTATGACTGGAATTATCCCGATTGCCGATATAACCATTCTTTATACGATTTGGATTTAACAAATGATGTTGACAATGAAGTCACTATAGAAGTTCAACTTTCCTCGTTTTATTCAGTACTATTTGACACAAATAAGAAATACATTTTAACGCCATTCAACGATAAAACCACTCCTATGACTTTCACACATTTTGAAATGAAGGAAAATGTTAAGGTCGAGTTCTTGATTGAAGTTTTTATTAATAATCTGACGATAACTTCCATTGGTAATTATTACTTCAAAAAAGGCGTCAATATACAAACGGTAAATCACAACGAAGATTTTATCAATAAAATCTTGTTTTCTGTTGATAAAAAACTGACCGGTGATGGAACATTATTGTCTTGTGGGCGTAGAGTGTTTTATGTTGAATCACTGTTAAATGGGTATATGTGTTATTGCAATTACACCAATGGCGTTTGGGATCCATCAGACACGTCTTTGAACAAAGGAGATTGTTTGGAGTATTCATTACAAAGCAGTTTAATACTTCAAATCGACTCCGCCAACTACGACGTGGCTGCATATCAAAGTTGGCAACAAATCAACTTTTTCAATCAAAGAAGTACAATCACAGGAAGTCATGTCCTTGAAACACGAAACGCCAACATCCAAAGTGATGTCGTTTTTAATAATATTAACACTGTTTTTCATATAAAAAATGCGTTGGAGTTCGACCAAAATACGCATATCATATTTCAACAATTTACAACGCTGTTGATTGATGAAGATGTCAAGATTGTTCTTCACAATCCACAGAACAACACAAATAGAAATGGAATAATTATGATCGAAACCGATGCAAACTTTCAAAACAACAACGATGCAATGACTGTCCAATTTGATAGCACCACTTCATTAAATTATTGCATCGAATTGATATCTTTTGAATCCCTTCACCAATTTGAAGCTTTCACTCCAAATTCAAAACTGATTGGCGGGAAGTTATATCGAGTTTGTCAAGAAGGAAATTTACTCAATGAAAACACACAATGCAATTTCACAGGAAATGATATGAACACTCACCTAAGTTACGAAGAAAATATCCTTCATTGTCCAATTAACACAGAGAACGCAATGATTCTGTTGAAAACCAACAACTTGGCACAAACAGTAAACTTCAATGGTCATTTTGAACAACAAAATAATTCCACTCTGAAATTTACAAAAAGCATCAATTATTTGACTCAATTTAAAGAAGTGAATGAAAATGTTATTTATATCGAAGAAAATTCAATAGATGGTGGAGTGTTCACTTTAGAAGATCAAACAAAAAAATTGTTTATGGGAAACAATTTTGGCTTTCAAAGTTCAACAACAAAAAGTTTTAAGAAATCGTCGAGTTTTGCAGTGACAAGTGATACAAAATACAACTGCGTTGCTTTTGAAGGGAATGTCGACTCAACACAAAATTCGATGTGTCTTTCTTGTAAAAATGAATGTTATTTGTATGAAAACAAATGCAATGTTATATCAACTGTATGTAATAGAATATATAAATCATTGCATTATTCTTTATGTGAAGAATGTCCGATAAAATATGAAGCTAAGAGATACGAATGTTATCAATGTCCTGACAAGTGTCTTCGTTGCGTTGATGGAAAATGCATTTCTTGTGAACAGAACTATTATTATGATGACAATGGTGTCTGTCTACCAATTGATAATTCAACGGGAAGTGTTCAATTGTATATGTTGCAAAATGCAAGAAAGTGTTCAGAAGGGTATTACACGTCATCTACAACATGTCTCAAATGTCCAGACAATTGTATTCAATGCAAAGATTCATTAACATGTCAAATATGTAATACATCCAGCTTTTTAATCAATAAAGGCGATTCTGTCATATGTGAAGTCCAAAGCAATGTTTCACTTGCAACAACATCGACTATTTTGTATTGTGCAACAAGTTATTACAAAGATACATCGAGTAATTCATGTAAAAGGTGTTCAACCAAGTTTGGTGAATTGTGTGATTTGTGCGATTTTGACAAATGTTTGAAATGTTCGCAATATGGAGTCATCAATAGAGTGACTGGGCAGTGTGAAATTTTATCAGAGACTTCATGTTCCACAACCCAAAACACATATTGTACTTCATGTGAGCACATAAATTATGCTATGAATACAAGTGGCCTTTGCGAACCCAACACCAACTGTGCAATTTCATTCAAAAATGGGAAATGTCCAGTTTGTGTCGATGGATATTTTAATACACCTGCAAGGGTGTGTGAACTCAACACTACACAAAGTGACAAATGTATTAAATTAACACAAGAAGGCGACAGGTGTTGTCGTTGTGAAACCGGTTATTTTGTATTGGACAACAAGTGTTTTAAATGTTCAGACAATTGTGTTGATTGTTATAATTTTGATGAATGCCTCCTTTGCAAAGACAACTACTTTTTACTTGAAAATGGGACATGTGGAGAGATATCTGAAGTCACAAACAACTGCAAAAAGTTGATTCAGACGCGTTCTATATGTGCATTATGTCACATCAACTACTTCAGAGATGCAGATGGAAAGTGTGAGAGTTGTATTGAGAATTGTACCATATGTAATCAGAAATCGAAGTGTTTACAATGTGTACAATACAACTTTTTGCTGACAGATTCTACAAAATGTCTTTCATATGACTACTTGGATAACTGCGACATAAAAACGGCGAGTGGATGTGCGTCGTGTTCGAAAGGGTATTTCATTTTAAATCAGATGTGTGCAAAATGTGACTCAAAAACAATGAATTGTACTGAATGTACACAATATGGGGTATGTACATCATGTACAGACAACTTCATCTTATTATCAGATGTTTGTACTTCGATTGACAAGATATCTGATTGTATTGAAATCGCACAATCGAAGTGCTCTAAATGCACATTCTGGCATATTCCCAATAACTCTGGCACATCATGCCAAACGCAAGCTGTCTGGTGGGTCATATTTGTGTGTGTCTTTTTCGTAGTTATAGTAATCTTAATGTTGATAATAATGTGTATAATAATCATTTTCAAAGTGATTGAACACAAAAGGAGAAAGAAAGCACAAAAGGAGACGTGTCTGTTTGAAATGAGCAAATCAAACATCAAATTTATCAAAACGATAAATAAAAACGTTGTAGTCAATATCGATAAAATTGTGTTTGAGAGTGCTGATTATGGTGATCTCAAAGTTGGGGAAGAGTCACGTGAATTGATATGTATTGGCAACAATTCCAAAAACACCATCAAAGTTCAGTTTTCTTCGAAAGGAGACAACTATAAATATTCATTCAGAAGTGAGCCAAAAGTCGTTTCAATTCCAAAAGGAAAAGCATGTGAATTTGAAGTCTTTTTGCTGGTGAATTGTTCGACACAAATAGAAGATACCATCTCTTTGTTCTCTGCAAATTTAAAGAAAGGGGAGACTTCCGAAGTTTCGATTGGAATTTGTGGGAAGACTGAAATATCGACGCGTTTAGACCCAGACGAACTCAAAGAAGAAAAGAAACTTGGTGAAGGCTCTTTTGGAATTGTTTACAAAGGAAATTTTCGAGGACATGTCGTTGCAATTAAAAAGATGAAGGAATTTTCTGAGACGAAACAATCAATGGATGAATTTACAAAAGAAGTTTTTATGTTAGATAAATTCCGTAGTGAGTATATCGTCCATTTCTATGGCGCTGTCTTTATTCCATCTAAGATATGTATGGTCACTGAATTTGCTGAATTTGGGAGTTTACAAGACTTGATGAAACATAAAAAAAGCGAAGAAGTTAATATGAAAATGCGAGTGAAATTGATGTTAGACGCATCAAAAGGGATTATATATTTACACACAAATGGGATATTACACAGAGACATCAAACCAGACAACGTTCTCGTGTTTTCACTTGATTATAATGACAAAGTAAATGCAAAATTGACTGATTTTGGATCAAGTAGAAATGTCAACATGTTGATGACTAATATGACATTCACTAAGGGTATTGGTACTCCAGTGTATATGGCACCTGAAGTGTTGAAAAAGGAGAAGTACAAAATGTCATCAGATATTTATTCGTTTGGAGTCACCATGTATGAAACATTTGGGTGGGAAAACCCTTATAATAAAGTGGATTTCAAATTTCCATGGAAAATTGCCGAATTTGTTATTTCTGGAAAACGTCTTTCAAAAAGGGAAATCATAACACAAAATGAGTACAACTTTATTTTACGATGTTGGGATGATGATCAAAGAAAGAGGCCATCAATTATCGATGTTGTTGAAAAGTTGGAGACATTTAATTTTGTTTGAATAATATTCAAAAAATATAAACAAATATCAGACAAAACTTAATATGATGTTAACATTTTAACAATTTGTAACTTTTGCGAAAGATACAAAAATTTACACAAACGTTTAAATAAATGTATTTTGTTGTTTTTGTTTAAAAATTTTTTATGAGTAAGTACATCATCAATGAAAACATATATAAAGTCTGTTTTCTATTTAGCGATATTCTTAAAATATAACAAAGAAAAGAACTAGACCGAAAATATTAAACCATTATTTACTATACTCAATATCGCTAATTAAAAACCATTAACTATTAATAAAATTGTCATTAATTAAAACTAATGATAAAAAAATCATGAACATTGACTTTTTTCCAAATCATTTGTTGTCGTGTTCAATTTGATCCAAATGATAATTTGACATGTCTACTCTATCTAATATGACATTTTATTCAATTTGAATAACCTGGTTGACATAGTTTATTTCGTCGTATCACATTTCAAGACCAACCTATTCTTCGTTTTTGCTTTATAAATTTTTCAGTTGTTTAGCCATTTTATTTTTTGTTATTTTTAACACATATTTATAAAAAAAGAACAAAAAAATAAAATACAAACCATTTTTTTGAAAAACCACTTTATTTTTATTATAAATTATAATACTGTTATTATAATTCATAGTAAAAACCCAATATCGTTAAATAGAAAACAGACTTTAGTTTCTTTGGATTCAGAATAATTAAGTGATAGAGAAATTAACTATTTTGAAGTACCTAATATAAAAATTAACACACTTTTATTTTAGTTTTTTGTCTTTGGTGATATTTTTTGTGACAAAAAAACAAACTCATATTAACTTTAATTGATAATAACACAAAAACTTTTAATAACACTTTGTAAAAATAGCAATTCCAATTATACATTTGATATAATTATTATTTTCAAGTTCCAAAAAAACAATAGCTATTTTTCTTTAGCTTTTCTTCTTTGGCTTTTCTAAAAAGTGAGTAAACGGTTTCTAATTTACAAAACAAAACAAACCTAGCAGTGATGTTTCCTTTTCTCTGCTTTATAATTTGTTTTTTTAGTTCCAGTTTGAAATAAATGGTTTTTGATTTCAGTAAATTTAATTATAAAAAACTATTTAAGAAAAAATCAATTAAAAATAAGTATTTTCATCATTTCTAAAATCCATATGTATAAGAATTCATTGTGATTGAACAGCTTGTATTCATTATTGTTGTTGCGGTATTTTTCGATTGATTCCATTACTCTATATTTACATTTAATACCATTTGGTTGAATTGGAACTTGATTTTTTAACATCATTTATTTTTCAATATTTTCTATTTCCTCCCTTTATCTTTTAAGATTTTCTAAATTCACCTATTTTTTTAAGATTTTGTTTTTTTTTCTCGAAAATTTTTTTGATTGGCCAAATAATTTTTTTTAAAATACTTAAATTATGAATTGATTTTTGCTCAGGAAATGGTCCTAATCATTAGGGAGTTTTACTAAAGTCGGGGACTCACTTTAAAAGTCGCCCACTCATTTTAGGCACTGTATAAATGAATAAAACAAGCAAAAAAAGAAAAAACATTAAGACTTACAATTAAAAAGTTTTATTTTTTATTTTTGAATTGTTTATTTTATTTTAGACTCTTTTGATTAATAACCTTGATTGTTTGAATGTTTGTTTTATGTTATCGATGACTTTTTTAATTGTTAAAATAAACAAAAACTTATTATAATTTAAATGTTGTATCATTTGATGCAATAATATTCTTCATTACATCATTAGTTTATTGTTATATTATCGTTTATCTTGTGTTTGTTAGAAATAGGTTGTTTTACTCATGTTTAGTTACAAAATGGATCACTACCAAAAAACGAACCTGGAAAATCGGGGAAGATTTACCCAATATTTGGGTGATTTCCCGATTTTTTGTTCAATAATTGAAATTGTATTGGTTTTTAAGGGTTTTAAACTGTGTACCGTTGTTGGTTCAACAAACAGGAAAATAAAAAATAAAACAAATAAAAAACAGTAAATAATGGGAAACTAGGACAAAGGGTTTTTATAAATTTTGGAAACGGTACAGAGTTTTGAAATACAGTTTATTATGTGCATTTCTAATTGCCAAACATGTACCGATAACATTTACTGTTGTTTATGTGCTGGCAAAGCTAAGCTCCAAGAAGACAAGAAAAATGTTACACAACGTGTTCTTCGAGCACTTACGATACTGCAACTTATTACAAGAAATGCACTATTGCAAATTGCTTGGAGTGCAATAACAATAATGAACGCAGTAAATCTATTGACAACTTTGAGTTGAGTGGAACACCTCCAACGTGCACTTCTAAAAATGGAGCGTGTGGAGATGGGTACTATGGAGAAGCTGGAAATTGTCAGAAATGCAGTGTGAGTGGATGCAAGAGATGTAGTGATGGTGAAACGTGTGATATGTGCAGTGGAATTATGAATTTGGAATTTAACAAGAAAAAGTGTTCGAATGATTGCCCAATTGGATATTTCGCAGATAACCAAAAGTGCTTGAAATGTGACGATAAGTGCAATAAATGTCAAGCATTGGACGTGTGTGATGAGTGTAATGAAAACTTCAAATTTAAAGTAGAAGGAAAATGTTATAATGAATGTCCTGAACACTACTTTGAAGGAAATGATATGTGCAACAAATGCAGCAACAATTACCAAACTCCTTGCAATACAACTGAATGTGAAAAATGCACCGCACCACAAAACAAAACAAAAAATGGTGTTGACAAGATAGTTATATTTGTTGCTATGGTTGTACTGCTTTTTCTTTAATTTCATTTAAACTTTATTTTATTTTATATTGATTAGAAATATTGTTTATTATTATATATTACAATAATATATGACAATGTGAACACTCTGTTTAATATGTAAAATTGTATTGTGCAAGACTTTTTGGGTATTTTTAAATTTAATTAGAATATGAAATAATTTATTCGTATTTATTTAAAACCCATTATATTTTTTTTTAGTTATTTATTTGTTATTTAAAATTACAAATCAAGTTTTAAACAAAAATGTATTATTTCAACATAATATCATTTATTTTTTTGTTGTTATGCTTTTTCAACAAAAAAGTGACACAAACAGTAATCAAGTTGGTAAGTGTCGAAACAATTGCAATAACTTCGAAAACAACAAAAAATATGTAGTGGACAACAAAAGTGTAGTCATTGTATTCACTTGAAATACAAAAAGTGTTTGGCATTATTTTATTACTGTAAAATATCAATAGAAATAATACACATTTAACAATTGAAAGTATAAGTCCAACAAGTGTTTTTTCAAAAGTCAATTTGTTCAACACATTTAACACTGCAAAAACTATGTGAGTTATAGGATACACTCCAAATAATACAAATACAAACGAGAAACTAAAATTGTATTTTTGGAAACAATTCATATTAATTTTGAACGATTCAAATAACAACTTCACAAATTGACTAATAAATATCAAAAACACAATCTTAATGTTAATTTCTTATATACTCAAAATATTTTACATCACAAGTATTATTATTTTTGTGTATTACTAATTTCAACACTTACCTTCTAATTTATCAATATAAATATATTTAAATCGTAAACTTGGGCCACAAAGTCCGACACGTTATAACAGTATTTTTTTCTTTTGTTTTTCGGGATATTAATATATTTTGTCGAAATTAATACCTGTTTTACTTATCATTATTTTCCCTTATTTCGATTTTTTGAGTCTTTTTTTCAATTTATATTTTTCAACTTACACTACAATTTCCTTATTTCAAAATCATAAATTATTTTGGTTTATTAAACATGAAATATCAATTTCATACCCAAATTGTATTTTAAAATGACGAATTAAATCTTTATTAAAAACAATTAACAAAATAATAATTCGATGGTTTTTTCAATTCGTCGTTTTGTACAATAACAACTAAAAACTTGACTTCATTATAATTTTAATATTAATTATCACTATAAAGAGAATCAAATTTAAATAAAAACACATGAAATTAATTAAAACATGACATATCACAAAACGTTTTTATTTTTTGTTGTGTAGAAAATATTAATATTTAAATAATATATATATATGTCAATATATAATAATCAATTAATTTTGTTTTTATAAATGAAATATTGTCGTTTAATATTTGATTCGGAATAAATAACACCAATTTAATTCAAAATGATACATTGGTTTTTGTACAAAATAGTCACACCAAAAATGAATTATGAATAAATGTTTTTCTTATATTATATATAATTATTTCAAAATGAATTATTATTAGTTTTGTTAAAAAACATATAAAAAATTACAAAATCAATGACTATTTCAATCCAAGAAGCTGTAACAATAATGAAAGTTGTTGGTGAAATACGTTTAAATTTGCTTCCAGATGAATTTATGTCTCAAATAATCGGTGATGAAATGTTTGATGAACGTATTAAATATATCGTTGGAGATCAAAAATATTCTGTTTTGGCAGCAATGCAGTCAAACCCCAAAGCAACAATGGAATTAAAAACAAACTTAATTGTTGGTGGAACTGCAATACGGATATCATTTAATGTGGATCCTGATGTTTATAATAAATTATTTCCTGAATCTCAATATTTATTACAACGACCAATTTTAACAGTAAATTCTGACTACATACCGAAAATAAATGAAAAACTTGATGAAATAATTCAAACATTAAATATAACAAATAACAACACATATTTGATGCCTCTACTTGAAACAAATGAAATATATCTTAATCTGATAAAAACAAAAGAAGAAAATCTTCTTGTTTGTTTCAAAAACCACGTATACACTCCATTTTTAATACAACAATTATTTCAAAAAACAACATAATTCCTCCAGGTAAAGGAAAAATATATCGATGTATCAAATCATTTAAAATGGGAAATTCATTAGTAACTCCAAAAATGGGACGTCCAAAAACACCCATTTTTATCAAAGAAAATATAATAAAAAGAACTAGACGCCAACCAAACGAATCTGGATCAACATGTGCAAAAAAACTTAAACGTTTTTGGCATCAAAAGATTTCTAAAACTGAAGTAAATCTTATTCGAAAAGCACATCATTTCAAATATACACAAAAAATTAAAGAACAATTTTTGTCTCATAAAAATATTCAAGATAGAAAATCATTTGTTGATGGTGAACTTAAAAGAATAATGAAAGAAAAAATAATAATAATATAAACAAACTTAGACATAGACATTTACCAATTTTATTTTCAGATGAGTGTCGTTTCTGTTTCCAAAATGATGCCCGAAACAACAAAGTTTGGATAGAAAGAGGACGTTTAAATAAAAAGTGTATACTTCATATGCCAAAACATACGACAAGTGCTATGGTATGGGGAGTTATTGGTGTTGGGTTTAAAAGTGAGTTGATTCATTTTGACAAAAATGTTACACCACAAACTTACATCGATTTCATTAAAAATAGTGGAGCACTAATTAAAATGAAAAAATATCGTAAAAGGTTTCTTTCTATGCAAGATGGTGCCACTCCTCACACCGCAAAAAATACCTGTTGTTTTTTTCGAAAAAGAAAAAATAAAATTGTTAAAAAAAATGGCCTGGAAATTCGCCCGACCTGAATCCCATTGAACAAATTTGGTCTATCATAAAGAGAAAAATTAATTTGACTATTGATATGGGAAAATATGAAGTATTTGAAGAAGTGAAAAAAGTTTGGAATTCAATTTCACAAGCAACAGTTGATCGACTCGTTTTATCATATGAACCGCGCTTATTGTTATGCAAAAAGGAGAATTTTCAATCAATTGCAAGAAAACTGTGGAAATGTCATAACTTGATACATTAATAACTTTTAAATAGTTTTTAATAACTTATAAAATTTGTTATAATTACACTTTTTATAATAACATATATATATTAAAAAATAATTATTAACAAAAAAATATTTTTGTTATAAAACATTTTAATTTTAAAACGGTGTAGTTACAGAATAATTATTTGTGAAAACATTGAATGTTTTAATAGACGTTTTTGTGGGAATCATTAAAATATTTAAAATAAAAAAACACATCAAAAATAAAATAAAAACAAAAATGTTCATAACATTCAGCACATTTCCCGTTATTTTTCGACAAAATACTGTATTATTTAAGTAAACAATCGAAAAAATAACAAAAAAATAAGTCCGAAAGTCCGACATGTCGGACTTTGTGTTCGGAGTTTATTTGACAATTAGAATTTTTCTATGTTTTTTTTGTTTTTAAAAAAACAAACACCTTCAAGAACCCCAATTACAGCAAATAAAACACACGAAACAATGTTACCTGTACTGACCATCTAACAACAAATGAAATAAGTACCGAGTTATTACTTTTTATTTGGTAAGCGATAAAAAGTGACGGATACATTATTCTAAAACATCATTACAAATTATTTTGTAATTAAACCCATTTTAATAACAATAAATTTAAATATTAAATTAAATTAGTGAAAAAATAAAAATATTTTTTTGAATCTTTATAAAAATAAATATTAAATATCATATGTTGAACAATTCTTCGATAATAAGAAATTGTTGTTTGGTTGGATATTATAACACTTTATTTGATAAATGGTTATTGTTTATTTGTTATAAATGATTGGGAAAAGAAGAAAATATATCTAACCATAACCAATGTGATGATTAAGCAATCACAAGTATTTATTTTATTAAAAATATAATCAATGAAATATTGAAAATTGTTTTTAAATTGAATGTTTTTTACTAAAATTTTTATTAACACGTTCGTTGTTTTCCCTTTATTTTTTTCAAAAAGCATAGAAAAAAATGTTAATTTTGCTTTTTCTTTTAAAAAAATTATTGTAAACCCGTTTCATTTTTTTTTCTGAGGATTTTTTGCCACACTATATCTTATTCAAAAAAATTACTACAACAACAGTACAATCCTTAAGATTTCAACAAAAATTATAATGAAAGGATAATTTGATTGCAATTATTGGAATATCGCTAATATATTAGTACTTTTCCCGTCGCAAATATTTTTATTCCGATAAAACACCACTTTTCATTTATTCTCCTTCAGTTTCACACTTTGATTCGCTCTCATTTTGTTCATGATCTTCCACAACTTAAGGCCATTCGATAAATCCTTTGAAAACTTGTTTTGTCCCAGACAGCAGCTACAGATTGAAAAAGTGTGTGTTTTGCAAACACTACAACGACATATGAAGCACTTATTTTTAGTCCTCTTTAGATTATTTAAGTGACCTGTTTTAGATTTTCCTCTCTCTCCGCGCTTTCTCGTCATTTTCAATGTTTTAGTGTTCCCTTCTAATATCCATTCTTCGATCTCCATACAATTTTTTCTTTCACAACAACAGGAAAAACATACTTCTCTTTCTCTTTCATTTTCCGTCTGTTGTTCAACTTCCATTTGTTTCCACAAATCGATATGGTACTTTTGGAGAATTGCCATTTCCTTTGCCTTTTCCGTAATCGTTCTTTCTTTGAATTTTTCCATTATGTAATTTTTACAGAGCGTTTTCACCAAATTTCTCAAAAACTGGGAATGTTCAATATTTTTATTGAAACATCGACTCACTGCAAAAGTATTGGTCATCGTCATTTCTAAAATGTTTTTAAACAAAACAAAAGTGCACCTGGAATTTCTAAATGGAATCGGGAATTCAGAACACAAAAAGTTAAAAAAATCTACCGGATATTTCAACTTATTGTAGACGTTGTTCATGTTGGTTTTCTTTGTTGACTCCTTCCAAACACCCGAATTTTTTAAGAAAGTTGACTCAATTGAAACCACTTTCGTCTTATTTGGATTAAACGTGTGAAGAAGTATTGATCCACTTTTCCAAAATTTGTTAAATGGTGGATTTTCATCATTTTCCTTGTCTATTATTGTTTTCAACTCAAATATTCGATTTTCCCGATTCCTTATGTCTTCTTCAGTCTCTTTTTCATTTTTTGATTTGTTTTTGTTTTTATTTTATCGGTTTTTTTAATTACTTTTGCTTCAAGATAAATTTTCATAAAATATTTTGTAAAAAACATAACAAATTTTTTAATATAATTTAATAGTTTAATAAAGTCAATTCATTTTTTCTAAACAATATAACTTCGAAAAAGATCGATAGACTATTTTATGAAATAAAAATATAATTGAATTTGACAATATATAGTAAATTAACTATTAGTAAAAAACACTAAAAAACAAAAACAATTTTGTTTATTTATAAAAATACATTGATGCAACGAAACAAAATGTATTAATATAATTATAAATTTTTAATGATTTATTATAATACATATTTATAACATGATTGTTTCGTTTATTAAATTGATCTTTAATATAAATAACATATCAAAATGTGACATCAAAATAATTTTCAATTTATCAACACTTATTATAATAAAACACGTATATCTTAATTAAAAATTGTATATATTATTTATGTTAATGTATATACCAATTTAATTAAATCAATATCATTTTATCTTTTGCTTTTTGAAATTGATACAATTTATGGATTGCAAACAAAAAAATTTAAATTATCAAAACAAAAATAATTTAATATAATTTGCCTTTAGTTGGAATATGTAAAAATTGTCACATTAATAAAATCAAATAAAACGAATTAATTAAGACTTTTGCAAAGACATTACATTTGAGAATAAATGTCAACCATATAATTGTCTATTTTAGTGCTGTTCAAAAAAACTTCTTTGAAAATAAACAACAATAATTAAAAAGATGATGTTTAACTTGCCCGATTATGAGCACAAAAAGCAACTCATTATTGTCTTTATACAAAAGTTAATATGTAGAAAAATCTATACAAAATGTTTTTTTATAAAACATTGTAAAAAACAAAACTCTAAAATAATTTTTAATAGTTTTTTTGGTAAAAACAAAATTATAAAAATAATCAAAAACCGACGCAACTTAAGATTAAAACAAACTACACTTTGTTTATTCCAGAGATATTTTGCACAAACAATACCATTTTGCATGCAAACAAAGGGATTAAATGATAAATTCAATTTTTTTGGTGTTTTATAAAACAATTTATAAAACGGACAAATAGCAATTAAAAATGAACAGTAAAATACGTATTATATATAAATATATTCCTTCTTAATATCGCATAATCATTGATTGTTTTTTTAATGTGGTAAAACAAAATTTAATTTGCTCCAAAAACTACAAAAATATTAAGAACCATCAGGAGAAAATGCAAATGGGAATTAGAAGAACCAATTTTAACTATATTTTTAATAAGTTTAATTATTTTGTAATCGTTTTAATTGTATAATAAGGCAAATTGACTATTAGAAAAAGAAAAACAACATTTTTAAATTATTAAATTGTCAAATTTGTTTTTGTGTTTTTTTACAATATTTTTCTTGTTTTGAAAAATGTGGAACAATCCGATTGAAACAAACCAAATAAAGTGTTTAGGGTTTTTAAATCTATCTCATATTATAAATTAATTTATATAATAATTACTTTATATTAGACTTTGTAAATTAGCAATAAACTATTTATGTTTATTTAGTTTTAAAAGACTTATTTTTAAATAAATAAAATTATTTATAATAATTTCTTTTTATTATGTTCAATATAATTAAAATATAATAAAAAAATATTTTTTATTTACTTTATTAATATTATTACCAAATAATTAAACTATAATAAATTATATGTTGTTATATAAATATTGTAAACAATAATTGCCTGGTTATTTTTTAATGTAATAATTACTTGGAAGAGATTAAAAGAAATAATCAATACATTTTAAACACAAAGATTGGAGATTATTTTGAAAAAAACTATAACGAATAGTTTATTTATCATAATGTATAATAATAATTAAAGAATAATGAAAGTGTATTTTTTGGATTTCAATTATCTCGTATACTTTATTTTTCAAAAAACGATTTGTGTTGAAGTAATGCCTTTGCAAGAACTTCAACTTCCTCAGCCGTGGTCTCAGTTTTCAACCCGACCAAATGAGCAAGGTCATTGTATCTCTGGTCTGCAACATACAAGTTGTACTTTGGACACTTTTTGCCAGTCTCCGTTTCTGAGATGGCAGCAAGTGGAGTGACTTCAGACGCCATGCCAGTAGTCAAAGATCTCATGAAACAAATTTGGTAAGATCAAGATTTTCTTCAAAGTTGGTGTTCTTGCTGAGATTGAAGAGATTAGAGAAAACAGAGTCACTGAAATTGTTGGTGGTCTTCATGTGTGTGCAAAAGCAATCTCACAAAGAAAACTTATTGAATGGAAACTCGATGAACAGATTGTCATTATTGTCATTCAAGACACCATCCACATTTGGTACCATTTCAGAAATTGGGTCTGGTTCAGATTATTCCAAAAGGTTAGACCAATACTCAAGAAGAGAAGAGTTGATGAGGAATTTGCAGCCAAAGACAAAGAAATTGAAGCTTTGAAGAAGAAGCTTGCTGAAGAAATTGCAAAATCAGAAGCCGTTGAGAAGGCACTTTCTGAGATGAAAATCAAGAACATCGACTTGGAAACTTTAGTTTAAAAGCTTAAAGAAGATATTGAGTCAAAAAAGGTTAGCACTTGACGAGGCTGGTATGAAGTCACAAGAAGACCAAAAACACATTGAAGAACTCCAAGGTGATACTAAGAGATTAAAGGAAGACTTGAACAAGTTAACCACTGAGTACAAGAAACTTGAAGCTGATAATTAAGAACTTCAAGATGAAATTACCGAGCACAAAGCGACTGTTGCTAAGAAGGAAAGTGTCATCACTGAGTTGAACAAAGACATTGAAGATAAGGAAGGCGAAATTTCTGACTTGAAGAAGAAGCTTGAAGCCGAAGAAGACAATTCAAAGGATCTTGAGACACAATTGCACGAAAAGGAAAACATCATTGCTGATTTGGAGAAACAAGTAAAGAAATTGCAAAACACCATTTCTGGTGTCAACGCACAGAATGAAGACACTGGAACTGTTTGAATGATCTTGTCAATACCGAAAATGATTTGAAAAAGACTCAATTGGCTCTTTACGATACTGAGAAAAAACTCGACAAACAAGTTGCTCAGAACAAGAAGGTCTCAGACGAGAGAGATGGATATAACCAACAGTTACAAGCTGAGAAAACCAAGACTGCTGCTTTGACTTTGGACAAGAATGCAAATGATAAAAAGATTTCATCATTGAACTCGGAGAAAGATGAGTTGGAAGATAAAAATAGAAAACTTGATTCTTCTAAAAAGATGCTTAGAGAATAATTTCTGAGTTGACAAAGAGAATTGAAGACGAACTTAATGACTCTGATATGTTGAAAGCACAGAAGGCCGACTACGAAGCTTAAATCCAAGCGTTGAAGGACGACACGGAGAAGACTGAAAAAGACTTGGCTGGTGCCAAATCGAATATGCATCAAAAAGACGTTGAAATTAATAACTTAAACGAACACATTGCCTAAACTGCTGATAAGAAAGACAAGCTTGAAGCTGATGCCGAGAACACGAATGGAAAGAAATATGTTCAAGAGAAGCAATTGTCTCAATTGAAGGCTGACAATGACAATTTGACTAAAGCCAAATTTGTTGTCGATGCCAAATTGGAAGACGCTGAAAGAGAAAAAGCTGCTCTTAACGAAGAAGTTGAAGCCGCAAATGAGAAGTTGAGAATTACTAAAACGATTTGGGAAGAACTAAAGCTGAACTTGATTAACTCCAACAGAACTTTGACTATCTCAAGAAGAATGCCGACACTGATGCTGCTGATAAGAAGAAACTCAATGGAACTGTTAATAAGAGCAATAAGAAGATTGAGGAATTAAGTGCCAAAGTCGACGAACTTACTGGTGTTATTACAAAAATAGAACAAGAAGTTGTTGAAGCCAACGAAGAGCTTGAAACAGTCAAG